CCCCGCCGAGGAACCGCGGGCCCCATCCGGGCCCATTCGGTGTCCCTCGCGGGTGAGCAGAACGCTGAAACCCTCGTCCCTCCTCCTCGAGTGTGAAAGCGGCGGTCGTAGCAAACGAATACACAGTGGAATTTCTTTTCTCACTTCTCACCGTAAGCTCTCAACTTCCCCCAAAAATGCCGGCTTTATTTCTAGGGTTTGTGTTCTTGATCTCTCTTCTTCGATCTCATCAGTCACTCGCGATCGCAGGAGGTCAGCAGCTTTGCTCTCATCAAAATTTTTTTTTTTTTTGAATCCAAGGTTCATCCTTCATTGGTATCTTAATTTTATCTGCAGATTGCCCCTTAGATTTTAGTTGGTCGAATTTTACCCTACCAGCATCTACATGTTCAAATCCGAACGAAAGAGGACAATGCTGCCGCTATATCAACGCGCTCGTTGCTATTTCTGTTTCTAATTACGCAAATGCCACCGGCAAGCTCGGAGTTCCACCAGCGTTTTCAGACGATTGCTTGAATTCTATATCGAAAACCTTTACTTCATATGGGATTCCTGCTAGTGCCATTACGTTTTGTGGGCTGGGTCCTAAAATTAGAGTTAACTATCAGTGTGAGGGGAGAGAGACTGTGTTGGAAATGATGCAGTCGCCGAACTTTCTTGATGTTAGGAAGAGTTGTGAGATGTCGCTTTCGGTGGAGAGTAGTTGTAGGACTTGCTTGAACTCGGGGATTGAGTATCTTCATCGGCTTATAGGAGGGGATGATAATGTTACATTGAGTGTTTGTAGGAATGCTGTTTTTGTCGTTCTTGCGAATCAAGGTGGTGAGTCGTCTGCTGTTGATATGGCTGGCTGCTTCTTTGGTGTCAAAGGGCTCGGTGTTGCCTCAGGTTCGTGTATTTCGAGATTTAGTTGCTTATATCAGTTTCTAACTACTATATTTATGACATATTACGGAAATGATTAGCTACTAATTTCTTGTGCATTGGTAGTGTATAATGAGACAACAAAAAAAATCAATTTCTAAGTATGTTGAAGAGTTTTTAGTTGATAAGGTTTGTGAATGTTGATGTGGATGTGGATGTTGGATAAAAAAAGAATATATGATGGGATGAGTCTCATGTAGGTAGTGAAGAAGAATGAAATGTGGGTTCAAAACTTCATAGGGGGTTTCTTTTCTGGGTTCAACCGCTCAAGTTGGTTCCACGACCGTTTTATCTGGTCCGTCTTGGCAATCTCCTAATTGGGCCTCAATGAGCTGCGTACCAAATATTATATCTGAAAAAGAAATAGTTCACGTGCTGGCACGCTCGCATAGTCACATGTACAAGCACAATGCATATTATTTAGCTAAGAGTTATCAAGAAGAGTAAGAGTACAACAATGCACAAATTGTTAAAATGGCAGCAATACCGTGGTTCCAACTTCCAATTGTGTTGTATTAGTAATATCTATGATTTGCATATTAGAATAACCAACCACTTTTTAGAAGTAATAGTCTCAAATAAACACCTAAGCTAACACAAAAGTAAAAAATTATGGATAGATAATTGTCCCAACAAGTCAAATCATTTCAAACAATTATTCTATTTCAATTTCACCACGCACCACTTGATATGCCATGTTACTTATGATTTTTTCACTTACAATCCCAATTTGTATTCACTCTCAGATCAAATGAATACATGAATGCAATTGATACTTATATCATTTCTATTTTCCATTTGGCTTTAAGACAAAACCCAGGCTGTAAAATTCTCAATATTTGTTTATATGCTGTTCCTTATGTTCTTTTTCTACTCCAGAGCCATCTTCCACATCATTGGTGCCTGCAGCTTCTCCGGGTCAAGCTTCGCTGAGCCCTCCCTTTGTTCAAGATCCTGCTCAGAACCTAACTGCTATGTCACTGAAGAAACACCACAAAGTGTACCACTTAAAGTTGCTTCTTGGAATTAGTACTGCAGTTCTGGGAATAGCTATTCTAATGCTGCTGATTTTAGTAATACTAATTCGCAAGAAAGCTAAGGAATTCAGGAAAGAAGATACTATTAATGATACATCCTGGAATGCCCTTCCACCTCCTCAAGCCCGGAAATTTCAAGATGGTAGTTGTGCTTGGCCTTTTCTTTGCATACTTTTATGTCTTCAAAATTATTGCCAGAAGCCGTCACACATGCACCGAATAATCGAATGGCATTGACTGCTTGGTGGACCTGTTACTAACAAATATATATTTGTAGGGTCCTCTTGCTTATATACCAAGTGTAGGATCGTGACCCTTAAGAAAAGAGTGCGCTCTTATAAAGAGTAAATCTGCGGAAGCTTTACACTTAAAACACTAGAGGGTGAGTTTGCAAGATGTGTTATAAATTGCAAGAAAGAATGACAACAATCTCAGAAAATGAACATCACAAACACAAGCCTGTATACTGGTTCCACCTTCCCGGTGTACATCTAGTCCCCAAGCAAATCTTGCTTAAGATTTCCACTATAATTTTGAAACCTTACAAAATCAAAAGCAAATCTGACCAATTTGTAAGACCATGCAAATTGCAAACCCAATTGACAACACAATGCCAATTGTAAACCGACCTCTAGACCAAGAGATCAACCCCTCTCATAAATCGAGAGAACCTTCCTTTGAAGCAAGTACAAATCCAATCCTATAAGCCTTGAATGTGTTGTGAACGTGTTCCCGGTGTACATCTAGTCCCCAAGCAAATCTTGCTTAAGATTTCCACTATAATTTTGAAACCTTACAAAATCAAAAGCAAATCTGACCAATTTGTAAGACCATGCAAATTGCAAACCCAATTGACAACACAATGCCAATTGTAAACCGACCTCTAGACCAAGAGATCAACCCCTCTCATAAATCGAGAGAACCTTCCTTTGAAGCAAGTACAAATCCAATCCTATAAGCCTTGAATGTGTTGTGAACGTGTTTCTCACTGTGGCTATATGTTTCACTTTCTGAAATTTGCCTAAACACTTAGTAGGAAATGATCAAGAACATAGGTTTTTTCAGAAAACAGTTTTTCTCAATACTTAGGCTAAAAAACAGAATGTTTGGCCTCTTGAATGTGCACAAAGTTTTATCTTTTGAGTGCAAATCTTGTTGTTTTGTTTACTGACGTTTACCCTATTTACAGCCTCTGAAAAGTCATATTTTTAAACCAAAATAACATCTCAAAACGGCTATAAATAGTCATATATTCAAAACCTGTAACAGTCAGAAAACTGCCTTTGTAGTCGACTACAACTCTTAGTAGTCGACTACTCTAAGTTCAAACACACTCTGTATAGTTATATAATTCCTTAGTAGTCGACTATTTTGTCTATTTGTCGACTATTCTGTAATTGACAGAAAGTCTGAAATTCTGATTCAACTCTTATTAGTCGACTATAATGTCTAGTAGTCGACTAGTCTGTAATAACACAGAAACTGATATTCTGTCTATGTCTTTTGTAGTCGACTATTCATGCTATTAGTCGACTATTAAGGGGTAGATATGAGCTATATGATATGTTTTAAATCTCACTCAATATCTATTAAATCTAATGGTTAACATAGGGGTTTTCTATAGTTAACTAACACACTAAGTATGTGTTAGTGTGTTCTAACATTATGTGTGTGCATGTGTGTGAGTGAAAGCTTGTACACATTTCTAAGCAAAGAAAATGTAAAATTACATTTTGACAATAAAGTATATCTTCTTCTTTGCTTCATTTTGCCTTGAACTCATCCTATGTCTTGAGTATCTCTTTGAATATCATTGGTGATTTAGCTCTGATACTGCAAAACAAATGTTAACACATAATACACACAACGTATAATATTTGTTATCATCAAAACGAACTAATCTTGGGTCAAGATTCCTAACAATATTCCCAGCAAACTGAGATTTAGAACTTTGAAAAATACACATCCTGAAAAAACCAAAATGGTCCTTGCTTATAGAAGAATAAAATTCCTGCTAGAAATAGGTAACATCAGTGAATAGAAGTAAACATTTGTGAAGGACGGAAGGAGATCAATGAGTTGTTCTCTGAGTTTTTCATTTCCTTCATGCTTGTTGAAGCTGTTCTTCTAAACTCGGTAGTATTCTTCTTGAATTGATGATCTTAGAAGTATGTTCTGATTCTGAAATGAAATTTATATTTCCCTATTGGATAGATCATACAAGCATGGTTTGAAGAGTCCATGGTTTTTTCTGATACTGGTCTTTTCTGATACATGATTTGGGCAGATTTCCTGGTTGAGGGTTATGAGCTGCTTTTAACCCATCCAGAGCTCTTTTAATCATCCTGAAGTTTTATTTCCAAATTGTGTAACAGACTGTTTTGCAGGTGCACCATATACTTTCCAAAGATTCAGCTACAAGGAGACGAAGAAAGCTACTGGAAATTTCAGTACTTTCATAGGAAAAGGAGGTTTTGGAACCGTCTTCAAGGCACAGTTTGATGATGGTTCTATAGCTGCTGTAAAGAGGATGGATAAAGTCTCAAAGCAAGGTGAGGAAGACTTCTGCAGAGAGATGGAACTCCTAGCTAGACTTCACCATCGCCATCTTGTTTCTCTCAGAGGATTCTGTATCGAGAAAAATGAGAGGTACTTTTCTCATTTATGTTTGTATTTCTTGAAATGATTTTAATAGCCTCACAACGAACTTATTTGTATACTTCTACGTATTCAGATTTCTGGTGTACGAGTACATGGAAAATGGAAGCCTCAAAGATCATCTGCACTGTAAGTTTTCCACTTATATTATTATTATTCTTTTGCCATTTTGCACCTAGATGTACCAAACTGGTTAATGGAGGTACTTCTTGCAATTGTACAGCACCAGGGAGAAAACCATTGAGCTGGCAGGCTAGATTACAAGTCGCCATCGACGTGGCAAATGCTCTGGTAATGTCTTAAGACTCTTTAACATTACTGAGTAAAAATGTCCGCAGGAACTGTACAATCTGTATATTTCGTATAAATTGAAGGGTTATCCTGTTAATTTGGAACTCGAAATGAAATCCTGGTTCATGTTAATGTCTTTTTATTCAACCTTATTTGTTTTTGTTTTTTTTTTTTGCATTGGTTTTCATTTTTTCCATTTATTGTACTTCCCTGTAGTGGCTTGGGCAAAATCATCTCAATAGTTAAATTTCCCAGAACAAAAGGATGTTGGTTTTTGTAACACACACTTGTGCATGGGCGAAATTCAGATTATGATACATAAAACACCATTGTGCTTTCCTGGTATCTCTGAGTGACGGGTAACTGAAGTATTTACCAATTTTTTCGTTGCTCAGTCAAAGAGCACACAACTGACCCACAACTCACTTCAATTCTTCAGGGTACATTGTCAAAGCTCTGATAAACTTTCTTGTTGCAATCTGAACTTCAGCAATTAACATTACACAAACACAAATCACTATTGTATATTTCTATTCTGTCTTATTTTGATGGCCATTGGCCACTATGGTTCAATTTTGAGAATTGGAGTGTTGGATGAGATCTTATGTTGACAAGCTCTTGCGAAACTGAAATATCTTCAATTGCAGGAATACCTCCATTTCTATTGTAATCCTCCCCTCTGCCACAGAGACATAAAGTCCAGTAATATTCTTTTGGATGAGAATTTTGTTGCTAAGGTACATTGTTTCATTAATTGCTGGTATAGCATTTATCTGTGTCATTATCCTTTTAATTGATGGATACTTGTTCAAAAATAGGTTGCTGATTTTGGCCTTGCACATGCTTCCAGAAGTGGGGCAATAAGTTTTGAACCAGTGAGCACAGATATTCGGGGAACTCCAGGTACGTAATTTTATAAGTGGGATACTAACTTCGTGGCTGGTACATTTTGGTTAAGTACTATGTTTTCCGCTTGAATACTTTACATGAGATCCAGTTGTCCCATGAAATTCATATTTGTGGTACATTTAAGATTGAACGCTGCAATTTAACTTCTCTTCAGCTGAAGACAATTTAGCATAAATCAACAGATAATGTGAAATTAACGTTCAATTGAAGTAATTATTTTGTAGGATGCCTATCAATATCAATATGTATAATTTAATTTGGCGAATGCACAAACTTATGATGTGAAGAATGGCCAATATAACTCATGCCCTTCAATTTTTTATCCTGAATTTTTGCTGCAAAATATCATGGTAGTATTGTAAATTGAAGTCAGTGGAGTCTCTTTAAATCATTACTCAAGACTGTCATCCTCATCTTCTATGCCTTATTTTAGTTTTTTGAAAAAAAAAGGAAAAAAAAGCAAAAGCGATGTTATATTGTTATTGCATTATGAAGCGATTAATTTTGTTGCGTGCAAAGTCCATGCTTGGAAACATATTTAACCACTGTTTTCTTTCCAATATTTTCAATATTTCCAATATGGAACAAATTCTCAGTCTCATGCATTTTCCTTTCCAAATTCACCAGGTTGTCAAATGTGACAATACTTATGCTCCACTTTGAGCTCTAACCTATGCCAACAAGTCTAGAAGCAACACAATAACCCATACCCAGGTCGTTCGAACTCCGGCTTTGATACAACTTGTTGGTTGTAAAAATCTATGAACAAAGTTTCGTTAGGTTGATTTTCTTGGAGCCATTAACTCAAAAGAGGTAAGGATTAACCCTGTTGATTCAAGAGACCAAAGGACTTAATTAAAGACATAGATGTCTTATCCTAGCACTGTAGCACATAACCACATGATCTTTTTTATATGGGTTAATTTAACAGAACCCCCTGAACTTTTGGGGAGTTGCACATAACCCCCTTGAACTTTGTTTATCTCACATAACCCCTTTGAACTATGGGGTGTCTCACAAAACCCCCCTGAACTTTATCTTATCTCACATAACCCTCCTTCATGCAATTTATAAATAATTAAAATATTAGGGGAATTATGTGAGATGAACATAGTTCAGGACGTTATGTGCAACACCCCCCAAAGTTTAGGGGGGTTTTGTGAAATTAACTCTTTTTATATCAAATTCACTAGGAACCGTTGATTATGAGATGCTTCCAAGACGCAACAAATTTGGAAAAACACACGTGGTGAAGTCATGAAGAAAACCAAGAGTTATCATATGCAATCATCTCTTACATGATATAATGAAGCACACACTCTTCATTTATGACCTTACCGTAATAACCTTATTTCAAAAATCCTCATGTATGAAAACCGACCATCCAGTCCTAACATATTAAGACAAGCTGTTAAAAATAGTAGAATAGTGCTTAAGATGGATTTTGCATTTTCTCTAGTCTGGTCCAACCAACTAAAATCAGTCATCATGAAAGTTTCAAGTCAATTCTAATGCTTGCAGGGTACATGGATCCTGAATACGTGGTAACTCAAGAGCTAACAGAAAAGAGTGACATATACAGCTACGGCGTGTTATTACTTGAACTCTTAACAGGAAGGAGAGCTATACAAGATAACAGAAACATAGTTGAATGGTCCCAGAAGTTCATCGCGTCAGAGTCTAGACTACCAGAACTAGTTGATCCTAGAATCGGCGAATCATTTGAAATGGAACAGCTCCAGATGCTAGTAGGAATCATACAGTGGTGCACTCAAAGAGAAGGGCGATCAAGGCCATCAATCAAGCAAATTCTCAGGGTTTTGTCAGAGAGTTTAGATCCCATTAATGACGATGGCCAATGCAGTGGTTTGGGGGAGATCAGTAGCAGATTTATGGCACGCCGTAGTGAAGTTATTCCTAATAGTGGAGATACAAGATGTCTTATGTCTTCTTCAAGTACTTCGAGATCTTATTGTAGTCGGAGCGTTTTGCTTGAGACTGGTTCGCCTCAATCGCCTCCTGGAACTTTCTCTGTTTGAGTTTTGTTTGGTGTTCTTATGGGTAGGGTTTTAGTTAAAAGTATTCTTTACAATCTGGCAATTTTTTTGATACGTAGGTGCGGAAGCTAAAGTGGCTTCTGGTTTTGTCTTGATTGTGATTATGCCAGATTTTTGTCTCTGTTTGTGGTCAAGATGTTTTTATTTTTAGTTATATTTTTATTATCATATTAAATTATTCTAGCGAGTGACCAAATATTTTGATAAAAAGAAGAGAAAAATATATGCCTTATAAATTTAAATTTGAAGGATCAAAATTTTTAATATAAAATAATTTGACAAAATAAAAATATTTTTAATTTATATTATCCAAAATTTTATTACTAAGATGATATTAATTATCAAACAAGGTAATATTCTTTACAACATAAGAAAATAGCTCTTATTTATACTATTATTAATAATTATAATTATGTACAATAATGTATTAAGTGAATAACTTTTACTTATATAATTATTAATTATTTATAATAAATTATCATATATTCACGAATTTTGTTATCATTATAAATTATTAATATATTCTAGTGAGACCAAATAATTTGAGAAAAATAAAGAGGTGCATAGTTAATGAGAGGTTATGGATCATTAGTTTTATAAATAATGGTATAATTTTGAGTTATAATAATTTGAGAGGGTAAAAAAGGAAAATCAAAAGTTTTAATATGGGTATTTTCTTTTATAAGTAGTATAGATTTTTTTTTTTATTTTCTAATGATAGCAGCAGTAGAGTGATCAATTTTCTCTAATCTTTGTGTAATGTTCCGAATATATAATTTTTGTTGTAACCTCGTGAATACAAAATTCATGGCCTTTTGCTGCTGTCTGATTTGAAATATGTTTCGACAACTGAATGCTGAATTTTGTATCATACTGATGTTTTGGGTTTGTGCAAGTTGTGAAGAAGATGGACGGTCTCAATGTGACACAGCCATAGCAAGGTGTGATTAAAGTGAAAGTATCCTGCACAGGAATAAATATAATTGCTTATGTTATTACATTTTCAAACAAGGAAAACTACAAAAAATATCCATCTATATGCTGATTTGCAGAATGATAATACATTTAATGAATGCAGCAAAAACTCTCTACCTATTTTAATTTATGAATAAATATGTTTGATTATGTAACAAAGCGTATGCCCAAGCACCCAACACTTTAGTGCGCGTGAGTCTCTAACATTTTCAACCGTACCAATTTGTCATGGAAGTCCTTTCATAATTGCTTTATATCCAATTGACCACTGCTCTCTATAATTGATCAATCTGTCTTTTATTTCAACCACTTTGCTTTTTCTTTCTCTCTCTTTCTTTTTCTAGTGGTGAGGGGGATAAAACCCCACTTCCTCGCCCAAAAAATTTATTGCTATCATGCTTCAAACTGTTGATTTTTTTTCACAAGCGTATATGCTTTCGGTTGCTCTCCCCCAAGTTTCGCTTACTTGCTTTTAATTCTTGAACCGCATCATTGTCTGTCTGACCATCACAAAGCATTATATGAAAAGAAATAGAAATGTTAGGGGCACACCCCACCTAAAACCACACCTCCCCCTCTCATTCGCTACAGTACTCCAGGCCCCACATGAGTTTTTAAAATTTAAAAACTCATGTGGGGCCCGGAGTACTGTAGCGAATGAGAGGGGAGGTGTGGTTGGAGGTGTGGTTTGGGGTGTGCCCCTAACACCACTCGAAAAGAAATTCATTCTATTAAATTATCAAATGCATACCAATTATTGTCCAAGATTGGTTACTTAAATTTGCCTCAACATATACGGTGTAACGATAATCTCATGTGATTAAAAAAAAATGATAGGGCCTAACTAAGAGTATTTAATCAGAGGAGGGGGGGAAAAAAGCCTCAATCCGTCAATCATGGAAGAAAAGCCTTCAAACATATGAAATATAGAATTGCCTTTAGTTTGACCGAAAATTGCCTAACTTAAAAAATCTTCAAACGCGCAACGTTGCTTCTCTCTTGATTGATCTTAATGCTAACGTCAATAGTATGGGTCAATTCTAACAAGTTGCTTTCAAACTTGATCAGCTCATAAGAGCATCTGCAACAGCTTCCCTATTTTATTGGTATTTTCACTTTTGAAGAATTTTGGGCTTTTTTTTTTGTCCAACAGATTCCCCATCACATTTCCCAAAATAAGGATGAAGGAGAAAAAAAAAGGGGAGTGTTCCCCAAATCTGCAGCATTCTTCAAATTTTTGGGGAGAACTTTGTTATAAATATTTCACGTTCTTCAAGTGTCCAACTACTTAAGAAACGACTCGACACTATAAAATGAGGGGGCAAAAAACAAAAAGTTCATGTCTAAATCTTTATTGTTAAAGTTCATGTCAGACACTATAAAATGAGGGGGCAAAAAACAAAAAGTTCATGTCTAAATCTTTATTGTTAAAGTTCATGTCAAAGATGTAGAATATTTTTATTATTGTAATAAATACAGGATTCTTCAAAATTGGGAAGCTGTTGGAGTTGGAGCAAAAATAATTTAGAGAATATGACTTTTGTTTCCCCATTTTGGAGAATTTTTTTGGGGAAGCTGTTGGAGATGCTCTAATATATCTAGCAATCATCACAACTGCTTGACAAACTCAACAAAAACAAGCAATCATGGCACCAAATAAGATTAATTAAGTTAGGGTTTATTTAATGCTCTTATGAGAACAAATTCCATGATATTTATTTCTTAGTTTTCTATAATCGATCGTAAACTTAGCCGTATGCCGTACGGATATCTTTAAAAACAACAATCGATTTATTCTCCGATGCGTGCGTATCTTTTTATCTTTGAATGAATCCATGTCCATGACAAAGTTTCAAAGTCCGCTCTCGTCTCTTTTGAATGTTTCCACCTTTGGTTACTTAAAACCAGAAGAAGAAAATGTTTGCACACACAAGGCAACCCCATTTGTCTACAATTACATGCTACGATTCTTTTATATCTCTCTTATTGGTACGAAACTTATTCTAGAATAATATCAATCCTTGACTTTTGCCATCATTTTAGTATACATCCACATAGCCTAATGCTTAGTTTATTAATTTGTGTGTGTGTTCATGACATCAAGCATTGCAAGAGATAATGAAAGAAAAAAGATGCACTTATTTTTTCGCTATTGATATGTAGTTTGAAGTGATTTGGATTATCCATAAGATTAATAAAATTTCTTAGAAACTAAAATATAGAAGAATCACTTGAGTATCTTGTTGATTGGAACAAAGAGGTCCAGAGTAAAATTGATACAATTATTGGAAGAGGTGGTCCCATGTTTTCACAATTAAAGGCCAGAAAATAACAGTTAACCATCCAACTATATATTACTGTAATTAAAACAATCATGTGAACAATGCTATATTCTTTATTCCTGACTAAACTTTCAGCAAAGGGTGATGACATTGTTCACTTTACTTGAGAGTATGTTGGCTGGCTTATTCAATGAAACCTTGGGATATAATTGGAATTTTGAGTTTAAATGAATTGGACTGTTTCCAAAGGCAGCTGGGGGGCAATTACACCTAGCAAATTTGGATCCAGAGCCTGAAGTTTTGTGCTAGATTAATTGTTTACCCTTTACCCTCAGGCCCGAATTGTGAATAATGGGATTGATGTTTGAAAATTTACATTCTTGAAGAGAAGAAGAATGATTCTTCGCAACAAAAACCAACAATGACAGGCCTATAACACAAATATTTGGACTTGGGAGTTACAACTATTAGTTCCATTTAAATTGCTTCAATTCATAATTATGATATTATTCCCAATCTTCCTCCTCATTGACTATGATCCTATCACTACTCCATGCTGGAACAAAATCTATACCAGCGTGTAGCATGACAAACTACATAGAATCAACCTCTAAAAAGGAACAAAAGGCAGCACCAAAATCTTGAGTTAAATAAATCATCAGGTTTGTTCTTGGTCCTGAATGCAAGGAATAGGAGTCCAATAATTCTCCTGACAGTTTGATACGCTCTTACGACACCAAAATCATATACTATGCAACCAACGCATAAATTTCCACTCTTCAAAATTCTACCCTCCATATATTTTAACTTATCTAGGTAAAGACACCAAAATTCTCTCTGATTTGGTTCTAATAAACAATAAAGACGTGGTTGTTTTGTAGAAACATGCATGTTTCCATCTCCACCACAAGGGTTCATATCAATTAGGCCCCCATTCCTTAGCTTGACTTATAGCTATTAGCTAGCATAGAGTGGACAAATTAACCATCCAACTAGAGGAAAGAAGCCCATGACCCCCATTATATCCTCCTCTCAAACTTTTCATCTATATATGTGAGAGAGATGTTAGCTCCAATCCCCACACCAAGAGAACAATGACAAATCTTCCCTCCATTTTACTTCTCTTCATCATAATAGCTCACGCACCCTTTCTTCATGGATCTACGTCGAGAGACTACGCAACCTACATTGTTCATATGGACTTATCGGTCATGCCACAGGCGTTCGCCAACCATGATGGCTGGGCCACTCTTGACTCCATCGACGCTGTCCCTGGCCTTGTATACGTCTATAACGACGCCCTTCATGGATTCAGCGCTCGTCTCTCACAATCTCAGCTCGAACGACTGAAGAAGTCGCATGGTTACTTGTCGTGTTATCGCGATTTACAAGTCAAGAAGGACACAACACACACCTCTAAGTTCCTGGGCCTGAATGCAGACTCGGGGATTTGGCCCGTGTCTAATTACGGCGAGAACGCCATTGTTGGTGTGATCGACACTGGGGTCTGGCCCGAGAGCGCTAGCTATCGAGATGATGGCATGAGCCCAGTACCATCGAGATGGAAGGGTAAGTGCGAGAAAGGCACTCAGTTCGTTTCCTCGATGTGCAACAGAAAACTGATCGGTGCTCGTAGCTTCAAAAAGGGTCTCATAGCCAACAACCCAAATGTCACCATCACAATGAACTCGCCGCGTGACACAGATGGTCATGGGACCCACACGTCTTCGACTGCGGCGGGGAACTATGTGTCGATGTGTCGGGTGCGTCCTTCTTCGGGTACGGACCCGGAATATCTCACGGCGTCGCGCCCCGAGCCAGAGTTGCCATGTACAAAGTTCTGTGGGAGGAGGGGGCTTTTGCCTCAGACATCGTTGCAGGCATTGATTCTGCGATATCTGATGGCGTAGACGTAATTTCGATATCTCTCGGCATGGACGGACTCCCTTTGTATCGTGATCCCGTCGCGATAGCAACATTCGCGGCGATGGAGAAGGGGATTTTTGTGGCAACTTCATCAGGTAACGAAGGCCCGTATTTAGGGCTATTGCATAACGGGTCACCGTGGGTTCTAACGGTCGGGGCGAGCACCGTGGATCGTACATTTTCAGGCATACTCGACCTCGGCGATGGCACTTCCATTGTCGGGCAGTCAATTTATGTCGGAGGCCCGAGAATTTTAAAAAACTTGACCCTTGTGTATCTAGGGTCATGCACTGATAAATCCTCACTACAGAAGGCTAGCCACAAGATTGTAGTGTGTGATGACAGAGAATCACTTGAAGTTGTTACTGACAGTGTTAAATCAGCCAAAGTGGCTGCTGGGATCTTCATATCAAAGGACCCTTTCTTAGAGTACTATGTTAGGTTCACAAGACCAGGTGCTATCATAAGCCCTGAAGCTGGGTTATCCATTTTGAAGTATGTGAACCGGAGCTCGAACCCGAAAGCTACTTTGAGGTTTCAAGAAACCATCCTGGGCTCAAAACCTGCACCAGTTGTGGCTACTTATACATCCAGAGGTCCATCAGGAAGCTGCCCTAATGTTCTAAAGCCAGATATCGTAGCTCCAGGTTCACTGATTCTAGCATCTTGGTCACTAAATGTATCAGTAGGAGTCGACGCTGAATCGAAAGTACTGTATGATTCTTTCAACATAATTTCAGGTTCGTCTATGTCATGTCCTCACGCTGCTGGGGTCAGTGCGCTACTGAAAAGCGTGCATCGAGACTGGAGTCCAGCAGCTATTCGATCCGCGATGATGACAACGGCCAATTCTTTGGACAACACATTAAAGCCAATTACTGATATGGGGAATAAAAATAGGCCTGCGACGCCACTAGCTATGGGCTCGGGACATGTTGAACCTAACAAGGCACTTGACCCTGGACTCATTTATGATGCAGGGCCTAAAGACTACTTGAGGCTCTTATGTGCCATGAACTTCACCAAGGAGCAAGTAGTTATGGTCGCTAGATCCTCCTCTTTCGATTGTTCTGGTGCGTCTTTGGACCTTAACTACCCTTCGTTCATCGCATTTTTCAATGCGTCCGAGTGTTTAGAAGAACAGTGACTAACGTAGGTTCGATCACAACCTACAATGCTAAGGTGGAGACGGTGAGGGGGTTCTCTGTGAATGTCGAGCCAAAAACATTGGTGTTCAAGAAGAAGTACGAGAAGCAAAGCTTCACTCTAACTCTTGAAGGCCACATGGGAGTGAAACAAGACGAGGTGGCTCACGGCTCATTGAGTTGGGTGGATGAGCAAGGGAAGTACGTAGTTAGGAGTCCAATTGTTGCGACATCTTTCACCTCGTAGAGTTTGTAAATGAGTAAATGTAATAAGAAGTTAGCATTGTTATATCGTACTGCACATTTTCTACAAATGAATCATGCCTGTGCTTTTTAAATAATAACAGAACTAATGATGGGAAAAAAACAAAGTTAGCATGCACCAAGCTGACCAATGTTGGATAGAGACCGGCCGTGATGTGCCAGGGGACCTAACCCAGCACTTTTTTTTAAAAAAATTGGTGTATCCACAGTTGGCAGGAAAATGACCTATGTTGGAATGTCTGTTACATTTAAATAAAGGAAGAGTCATCTTAAGATAGCGTTTCAGCGTGGAATCGGAAAGCGAAACTTCACTCAATAGTCCATGCAAAAGAGAAGTGCACTTCACAAAGTTCTTGATTGAAATACATATTTCAAAGATTATTTCCACAATTAGATAAACAATGAGGCGTGATAGAAATACATCCTTGCTTCCGTTCAATATTTGGGGAAAATGCTTCTACCTTCCTTAGATTTTTCAACCATACGCCCCACTCCAAGTTGAGTAGTCTTGAAGGTGGAAATTTTTCTATCTTTTTCTAAAAGAATTTCCTCCATCCCCATTATCTCATATTACTTTTAAAAATATTAATACTAGTGGGAGAATTCCAACTTTAATTAATCAACTTTAAGTTGGGACATTATCTATAAAGGTGAAAGCATTTTCTGCTATTCTTCTTAAAATTAATACAGGAAGCATATCTAGCAAGACATAATAGTGTTAGTATTGATTTATTGCATTATTTTATGAAGAACCTGATAGAAATTGATAACAATTATTTTCCGTACTGGTTAAGTTCTCTAATTATTGTCCTTTGATATTACATATGTCAACCATGACAAAAATACTGTACACAAATTGGCATTATATAAGAAAAGGATAGCGTGCCTTTGATCTAGTGATATATATGGATTGTATACATAATAGTGTTAGTATTGATTTATTGGCTTGAATCCTCAAGGATCCACCTCTAGATTCAATAAGAAGAAAAACATAACTTTGAGATCCAGACCGAAACCTGTAATGTATCAACATGAAGGCAGTACTGAAATCTGGTTATTGGGTTAATCATCTCCCATTGGCTATCACCATCCATAAGACGAATCCATATGAGTACACATTAAGTGTACTAGTTCTGCAGTCAAAGAAATACATTACGTATGGAAAAAGGAAAGCTTATATGTGTACGCAATAAAAATTGTCTTAATTCCTAGCAAAGAAGTTCAAAACGGACAAAAATGTTAATATCTCTCAAACCGTAAGGAATTTGGCGAAACGAACAGGAGCAAACCAAACCCTTTGGGGTTTGTTTGGTCGACGCCGTCTCGTCGAGATAGTCGATTTTCATATATAATTCATCCAATTCCTACTTACGGTTTGAAAGTTATGACTCGTTCTTCGCATCATGTTCTGAAGTCCGCCTATAAGACTGGACTTCGTTTGAACATTGAAGTTCGCCTGCAATGCTAAGTTCGTCTGACAACTTAGCTCGCCTGAACTGATTGAAGCTCGCATGACAGCTTCGCCTACGAGGTTCGCCATGCAGCGAAGCTCGACATCAGAAGACGAGGTTTGCCATGCAGCGAGGCTCGACATCAAAAGACGAGGTTCGCCACGCAGCGAAGCTCGACATTAAAAGACGAGGTTCGCTGCGTCGCGAAGCTCGACATCAAAGTTCATCACTGTGGACAAAGCTACTCTGGAAGATTAAGCTGGTCATTGAAGACAATGTTTGAAGCTCATCATTAGAAACGAGGTTCGAAGCTCATCATTGGAAACGAGGTTCGAAACTTGTCATTGGAGACAATGTTCGAATCTCGTCATTGGATACGAGGTTTGGAACTCAACACCAGACGTAAAGCTCATTAGTGAAGATGTGATTCGTCAAAAGGAAATTCACAAGACTTGCTATGTAGTTGGACTCAGCTATCGAAGACGATGTTCGTTAGTGAATACGAAGCTCGTCAGACGGCGTCAGTGAAGACAGAATTTGTTATACTGCAAAGTTTACCTTGTAAGACGAACCTCGCTACGTATCGGGGCTCGTTCAACTTGATAAACCCTGTTTCAATTAAAGACGAGGCTCGTCATCCACATGAGATTTAGCTGTAACGGCTTCGAAGAGTCAGCCACGTGGGCTAATCTTCGGGAACACGTTACGGTATGCGCTGATTTGGAGGAGGCAGTTACGCCCCTCTACCCTTGATCTTAGCACGTCAGTTACGTACTTACACCCTATAAATAGTCATGAGTGGCTACAGAGGAAAGGGGAGAGACTTTTGGGGAAGATTTTGGCTATCACGTGAAAGGAGACCAGTGCCTGCATTCTCGTGATCTAAGCTGCCATCAGAAGCTTTTGTGATCTTGTTCTGATCGTCAACGGGAAACAATCTCGGCTTGAGCATTGAGAGGAGCATCTTTTCGCCACCAAGAGCCCACGTTAAACAAAGAGAAGCTGAATTAATCTTCTCTTTCTCTGTAATCGAGAGAGTGTGAGTGATTGTAAGGGATTCGTACTAAGTGATCGAATCCATTTCTTAAAACAAGAAATCAATCAACTTCAAAATTTCGACCCTACAATATGCATGTAAATATATCGGTTATTAGATGCAAAACACGAATTTAGAGTAACTACTGTAGAATTTTATCTAATAGGAATCACAACAAAAACATGCAAAAGTAAAGCAATGGTAGGCAGATATCTTTTTTTTTTTTGCATAATTCTAGTTCACATTGTGGTACAAGAGATATGCAGATATTTCAACGGGGAAGAATTTAATGAGTGAAAATCACATATTACAAATTTATTTAATAAACAATACAAAGCACAGTGATTCTCTGGATTTAACAAACAGACACACTAATTAAAGTCTGACGAGACAGAGAGAAGGTTGTGTTTTGCATTTCTTAGGTGGAAACAACTTTGATCAGTCTTCTGCATGTTAGAATCATTATGAGGCAAACCACATATTGACAGTGACAACTGACATGAAGGGTCCTTTCATGTTAGAGAAGGAGAACCAAACGAATAATTAAGAAGAAAATTAAAAAGGCTGATGATGGAAGAAATGACAAGTTGGATGGTGGTTGTAATTGATAGTCATTGGCATTTCCGATTCAGTGGATGTAAGCTTATAAATGCAAACCAATTTTCATTTCTCTTTTTGGTTTTTGGTTTTAAGGTAAATTATGAAATTTTACCTATTTTCAGAGAATTGGGCCCAAATTCTGGCATTTGTGAAGCATAAATGTCACATTAAAGTTGTAATTAGCTCCATTAAGACAAAAGTTGGAGCTATTTCTATGATCAAGCAGTGTTCTTGTTTCAGATGGAAAAGGATCTGGTAAAATGTCTTTATTTGTAGATCAGCAATAGGTGACCTACTTTTCAGATAGTTCAGATAGACATAAGTAAATGACAAACTTTTACGGTTCCTAATAAAAGAATTAAAAAGAAAAAAAAAGATAATACTTCCATCATATTATTGTTATTTTCTAAATTCACATTCTTTTCAACAAGGTTACATTTCAAATCAACCGAGCTACGATTTATTGATAATATACATTTGAAATCTATTCAAAGTATGAATGTTTGTGTCATGTGCTGAGTGTGTATTGCTAAAACTGGTAAGATTTGAATAGTCCCCAATCCAACAATGATGGATAACCAATAAATTATTACCTACTTTTTTATTAATTATTATGCTTCCTTCCTAAAAAAAGAGAAAAAAGAAGAAAAAAGTAAGAAATTCATGGAGAAAAAACTATGAAGATATTGTTGAATTGAGAAGGGTGGTGGATATTAAGAAATATTTTATTATTATTTCTTTAGTAGTACAATCCTCGGTACTCTCTCTAATATAAACACTCTCTCTACTACAAATTACTATATTACTATACTCTTTTTCAGCACACTACTCTTTATTTTTCTCTCTTCCTCTCTTATTTACTTCTCTTTATTTTGCTTCCTACTGGTATCCACAAGCTCCCTCTCTCTGTTTGATTTTTGTTTCAATGGCTTGGGATAATTCTTTTCCTTCACTGCCTTTCCCTTTTATAGAGAATTGATCATGGTAGGTGTATACTATTTACAGTAGGTGAGAGGTTTGTACAAACTATTGCACCTATCCTGATTTTACACATGGGTCGGTGCTGACCCATTTAACACTCCCCCTCAGCACTGACTTCTCTATCTATGAGTTCAAGAACTCTAAATTCTTCTTTAATGTTTGGATTTTGTCTTTCAACGCTTGTCATCATTTATCATTACCGTATGCTTCCTTGAAAGTAGATGACTCGTTCACATCTTGTATCACGGCAACATTAGCATACTTTAGTTTTGGTTTCCTCGGTCCGATTGATTTTCAAACTTGTCCTATTGGTTCTTCATCGATATCTTCTATCTGACTCGGACACTCCTCTTCTGATGTTGTTTTATGAACCCTGGTCTTCTATGGATTCTTCTCCTTTTAGAATGTGGGAGAACTTGGTTTTGTCTTCTTTGACTGTTGTGATTCTTCTTCTTGATTTGGCTTCCCCAAGTTCTCTTGTAGTTGATCCTCTAAATCATTGGAATTCGGAAGCACAACTTTTTGCAGAGTCCACCAAGATGAAGCTTTATTAAACACAATACTTCTTAATGCGTAGCACTGTCCGATTGTGGGATCACACATCTCCATCCTTTTCTTTCACCGTCGTACTCCAAAAATGCACCTTACGGCCTTTTTGTCGAACTTGTTGCATAACTGATTAGACACAAAGACATAACGCACACAACCGAAAACTCTAAAATTACTTATTGTTGGCTTGATATTCCATAGCTTCTGAAAAGGTGATATGAACTCCAATTTCAGTGGTGGTGGCTGATTGATCACGTGCGTCATTGTTTTCATACACTCAGCCCAAAAATACCCTGGCATGTTGTTAGCATGAAGCATGCTCCGACATATCTTCACAAGATGACATTCTTTCTTTCAGCAATGTCATTTTATTGCGGAATGTTCAGGCACGTTAGCTGTCGCTAAATTTTGTACTGCTTTAGGTAGTCATAAAACTC